GGGTTCACGCGGGTTCGCGGGTTCACTCGGGTTCGCGGGTTCACGCGTGTTCGCGTCAGGGCCGGGCCGTATACTGTTCATGAGTGCCATTCCCTACTACTAACACAGCCTTTTTTGCACGATAAGCAGCAGTAAGGTCATGATGTCACAACACGGCCATTCGGAACCACTGCTTGCCATGGGCGATAGCTTGCGTCTTAGAGACGTTGTGGTTGTGAGTTCAATGTTCATGGGCAGTTGCAAGCGGGGCCGCTCGTCCAAGGGATACGGGATACATTGTTTTCTGGGACGGCGTTGTCAACGAATGTTGGTCTGCTTGCTGAACCAGCAGTCAAGACTAGGCAGTTCCTGAACTCTCTATAGACCCCACAGTTTAAGCCAAGCCGGAACTTGACCGAAAATCCGAAGCCCAAGCAGACTTGAAACTGCACACAAAACTGCACACCGAATTCCACACACTGTCCTCCCACAGGCGCATTTCGCGGCCCAGCTGCAGCCCTTCTTCGTCGAAATCCTGGGCATCCCACTCTTGAGCTCCGTTGAGGCCGGGACTTCGACTGGGAGATGTCCCCGTCAGCGGGTAATTATACAACATACAATACATAACATATAACAGATAGTGTGCATATATACATATATATATAGAGAGAGAGAAGCATACATAGATAGATGCAAGCAACATGTACAAGGCTTTGGATTTCAGGTATTTCGGGGTTTACTCTGGGGCTGGCCTCCGCAAAGAAGCCTTTCGGATGTAGCATGTAGGATGCCAAGGGTCAGAGGCGTGAAAGGTTGGGATTGCGGGCAATGCAGGCCGAGCCTCAGGCCTGCCGGTCATCATACGATGCTAGAAGCTCGTTACATCAGGACCCCCCAAGGGCCCTTTAATCGAGTCCTTATGGTCCCTAATAGTCGGCATTTGGGGTATAATAGAGGGGAGTTGGGGGTCTAGGCATCTTCCTTGCATCTATCGTTTGTCCATGAAATTCGAAAGTCCTCGAAACGCAGATTTTTCTGTTTCATACGTCGAAGCAAAAGGGGCGCGTTCAGAAGCTGCATCAGGTGCAGGCGCGGCTTCGCACTGCAGCAACCTCCGCAGCGGGCTTGGTGGCACGTTGCTTGAAGAGTGCCCGAAAACGTAAATTCTAAGCCGTGCCGGACCCGTCGTGGTCAGCGTATCTAGGAAGCCGATTTACCGTCTCTGAATCTCTGAACAGTAAGTAAGACCTCATTTGTGAGTTTCTGCTGTCTCGGAGTTTAAAGTAAAGGTTCAAAGCTCGAAACAGCCTCTTGAATGAGACATATGGCCTTGATACAGCATCTCCCGGCGGGAATGGAGGGCGTTTCACGGTTTGGGGCTTTGGGCTGAGCGTAGGCCACAGATGTAGGATTAAACTCGGGGCTGTAGACAGACCCTACCCTACCTCGCATGCGGATGCCTGCAGTGCAGGGATCTGCCGATGCTACTTCCAAGCTGCACAGGGCGTGCGCCCAAAACCCTGAGAGCCGGTGATGCGCCATGAACCTCATACCACATTCTCACATCGTGAAATATCATGCTATATTGCCTCAGATTACATTGCATTCTGCTACATTACTGCTACATTGCATTATACGCTACTACAATATATTCTATTTTGGCAGGGCATATTAAAGCATATTCTGACTTGTTTCAGCGTCATAATAAGAAGAATCAGAATAGTAATCGCAATTACCATCATAATCACAATCGTCATTATGTAGTCGTTCATCATGCTTATGGAATGGCCTTTACCGGATTGGGAGGTACCAAGACTTGGAGAAGCTTTGCCAGAGCATTGACAACGACTCTGAGGAAGCTTGTAGCCTGTAAGCTGGCAGCTTTTCATCTTCTTCGGATCCTCGCTCAGGCGGTTTGAAAGACTTGTTTGTAGTTGTGGCCCTGGTTGTCGTCGTCGTCGTGTTTGCTTTTAGGCTTGAATTTGGCTCTTTTCCTTCGAAACGGACATCCGAACCCGAATCTCGTCCTCCTCCGCCGGGACTGCTTGCGAGTCCATCAGTTCGCTGGCTGGGTAGTCAAACCTCGGGAGTATACGGCCGGGAGGGTCCAGTTATTTTGCGTCGATGTAGCAGCCAGCCTCCAAGCCCTGAAGCCTGCGTTCTTGAAATAGCTGCTAGCTATATTAGCACAGACCTGTATATGTGTGAAACGCTATAGGGGCCTTCCCGGCAAATCCGTCCACACCCAGCCAGGCAGGAGGCAAACAAACGTCCAGACCGTGCATTCCCATCGCAGGATGTGGCTTTAAACTTCTTGAAGGAGGACTTGGCCAACATGGTCTTCCTGCAGGGACCCGAAACCTCCGAGTTGTCAGGACTTTGCAGCAGCTTTGGTCTGGCTTTTGGACCCGTCGTGATCACCCGCCGTAGGCAGAGCTTGTCCGGGTGATTCCCCAAGCTGGTCGGGGCTGCGATGGCCCGAGCTCGCAGACAAAACCTCCCAAGACCCCAACGTCCACCCTAGAGCTTCGATTTCAACTCCACGAAGCAACCAGTCGGTCCCTCGAAGTCGTAGAAAGGCACATCGTCTCAACATCCGAGGCCTCGGCCACTTGAACACCGAGACTCCGGGCCCTAAGCCGGGTAGTCTCTTGGAAACCCTGACCCCTCTGCACCTCTAAACCCTCCCCCCAGCACGAGGCCGGGAGTTGAAGACCAGCCTGAAAAAGAGGTCGGGGAGCCCAGGAGAGTGGTATCAGCGGTGCTTTGAAAACAGGTCCTGTACTGAGGATCCACGATCAAGGATCCGGTCATCTGGGATAGAAACCTACAACCCTGGGGGGAGGGCCACAAAGTTGCGACCACGGGAGCCCTTGGGTTAGCCACCGGGGAACACATGTTGTTCCACTGTCGTGTTCCTTGCGAAAGTATCCAACTACGCCATCTTTGACTCATGGTGACTCAAGTCCAACGACGAAGCCTCCAGCCGGGGTTGGTGTTGAAGCCCTTTGGACAACCGTATATACGTTTCCTCGTCGCTGTGGGCCCCTGCCTGGATTTGTGCGACTGTGCTTGTCGAACCGAAGAGCCCACACTGGCAAGGACAAGGGTTTAGCGGCCAGGGTTTTGCTTGAAGTTTAGAGCTCAATGCTTGCTTGCTGAGCCCTGCATGCTCAGAACCGTGCCGAAAAGGTATGCCGCCTTCAACAACATGTCTTCAACGTAGCAAGTGTACCCTCTTGTTGCGACGTCGCCCTTAAGTCAGATATTATAAGCCGGAGCATTGAACCCAAGGATGGTTACTGGCCTGTAAACGAAACCCGAGATCGTCATGCTTCCTTTCATGCTCCGTTTGTTGCTGCTCCTGGTAACGGAAACACGAGTCAGTGCAAAGGTTGAACACCAAGCATTACCATCATGATTTTCGTTGTCGCCCTCCTCCTCCTCCTCATCTTCATCTTCATATTCATCCTCATCTCCATCTTCATCATCACCAGGCACATCTTCATCATCATCATCATCATCATCATCATCATCAACATTATGTTCATGCTCACCACCGAACTCCCCACCACCATCGAAATCCGGATTCCCATGAGCTTCAGATCACAGAATGAGACCATCTTCGTTGCCGAGTCCACCGAGCGTGCCCAGGCCTTTGTCTTCTTGACCTCCGGACATTCGGACCTCGCGGCTCGCAGCGGCAAGATTGATTTGAGCCTGGGCCCCAGTGCGTAAGCCGGCAGAAGCTACTGGATTATGCATTATGCATACTATACCCCAGCACCTTATTCTAAACTTATTCAGGCCCCAGTGCCTAAGCATGCCCTACGAGGCCTTCATCTTCCTGGGCTGGACGATTACTTCATCCGCATGGTGGGGCTTCCCAGGCCACGGCAGCCCTGTGTGAAACCCTAGGCCCTGGCCCTTAGACCGGCATCCTCAAAGGCCGTGTAGTTGGCCAATTGAAGGCTTGGGTCCCCCGAAAATGTGGCATTCTGGTAGTTTTGAAAGCTGCTCGATTGCCCGATGTGGCTCTCCGGTACCAAGGATGTAGGATGAAGTGGGGAGGGAGGGGGGCGCCCTTCCCCAAAAGGAAGGGGGGGGGGACCTTGTTGCAGAATGCAGAATGCAGAGGATGTGGCACCGTTTGCACGGCTCCGATCTGCATGCTGAAGTATAGCCCCTATAGGGCGTAACTTTCCGTAAGCCATGTGGTCTACTGCTCCATGTCTCACCAAGCCCCAAACGGCCCGAAATCCTCATCAGTCCCTGCCAGTTTCCTGGATGCCGATTGCTGCTTCCGGGTGCTAAGAAGCCTGCAGTCGGAGGAGGCCGCCGCTAACGCTTAACTGATTGAACAAAAAAATAAAGTACAAAACGTACACACATGAATAAATATATGTATATAAATATATACACACATACATACATATGTATCGCATAGTATACAGTATGCAGTTTAATACGTATAGTATGGTGTGGCATGGCACGTTACAGTTCATTTTCGTGTGTAGCAAAGTGTGGTATGGTATGGCGTGGTATGGTATGCTATGCTACATTGGAGAAGGGTAGTACATAGTATGGGGACTAATTCGAGCCCTAAACCCTAAACCCTGAAGTGTACCTAAACTGTCTTGTCCACTTCAAACACGCAGGGAGTCACAGGTAGAGCAAGCGAGAAGGCGGAACAGCTGAGACTCTGATGTGCGCACCCCTCGTGCAAAGGCTTCGGCTTATTGGATCCAGAAACTGCGGTAGGGGATGTTTCATGTAAACTATTTTGGGGGTTCCAATTACAATTATAGTAGTTATAATATACCCCATAACCCTATTCTAATCATGGAGGCCCCTATATTACAGAGGGCACGAGCATATTCAGACTCGATTTGCAGTCAGCGGGTCGTGCGAGGCGGTGAGATGAGCCTGGCTTATCCGAGCCACCCCTAGCCTAGCCCTGGAACTGGAGCCCTAAAACCCGTGCGGATTTTTAGGGGAGTCCGAGTGTCAGCAAGCTGAAACCCAACAGAGATGTCTAAGCCCTAAACCCTAAACCCGAATTCCGAATTCGGAGGCAGCTTTGATCTCCGCTCCAAGCGTCTCAGGACTGCTTGAGCCTCGTCCTTGCCATCTACAGCAACCTGGAGCAGGCTGTCCTTGTATGATTTTTCGATCGTGAATCTCTTTGAGCCTAATATCGGGCTCTAAACCTGTGCTGTTTGAAGTTGGGGGAGACGTGATAGCCGCAGGACTTGCTCGTTCTACCCTACCGGTCAAGCAGCTTCCCTGCGGTGCGACCCAGTCAGCGAAGCAGATGGGGAAGCAAATGAAAAAGATCCAACTCCAATGTTACGTTTATGTTGAGAGCACTGTCGAAGCTTCACCTCTCAGTGCTGCGAGGCCCATGGATGCAGCATGCATGCTGTGGACATGTCCTTGGTGTTCCAAGAGGCTCGCTAACTTTGAGCTTGACGACAGAAGGGCAGACATGGAAGACGCATGAACTAGGGCCTGGGGGTAGGACTCCGGTGTGCAGAAGAACGCAGTATGAATGATCTCGATATCAGTGCCCGGGGATGGCAAGTACATGTAGCTGACATAAATGCCCGGTGGACAGCAGACACATCTCGTCGATCTTCGGTTCGTGACCACACGTGGCCGGTTTCAAGCAGCACCTGCATCAGGGCGATGAGCTCGTATTGCCAGGGGTGCAGGTAGTTCTAACTGCATGGGAGCCCCGAGTCAGAGCCACCCAGACCTCCGATAAAAAGCAAGGCTAGCTAAAAACCAAGAGGACGCCCGCTCACCTTCTGCATTTAATTTTCGTACGACCCGGATCATACCTATCAGGACCCAGTGAACGGACCCCACGGTTTGGCAAGGTCCTTCGCCAAGTTGTCCTCTATGAGCCCCAAACCCCGAGACAAAAGCTGCAGCCCTTGATCGCCACACCTCAACCCCATACGAGGCTTCCTTTTATCGGGCTTAGGCTCAAGGTAGTCAGGCGATGACTTCAGTAGTCGCAAGGTTTTGCAGGCCTGAACGGAAGCATCTCGGTACTAGTGGCAATGCAGTCTTCATCTTCATCATAAAATAATATAGGGCCCAAATAACTACCTATTCTATTTTGGGGGGTTCCTTATCAGTGTAGTTATATAATTAAACTGTAATATACCCCGAACCCTATTCTAATTATTAAGGCCCCTATATTAATTAGACGACACGGAAGCAATGAGACATCCCAAGATGGTCTGGGTCCATCAGGATCGCATAGTGGGACTTGGGGGTGTCTTCTCGCTGTGCGGCAGGAACCCTTCGTCTTTGCTCCATTAGCCGATCGCTCCGTCCGAGAGGCGCCAAGAGTTCTCTAAAAGCGTTTCAAAGGGCTTTAAGGATGACATAAACCCCTTATATAGCTGAAATGCCTGTTCAGGATCACTCAACCCGAAGATGTTCATCCTGCCTATCAAGGCCTAAAATCCTAATCCCTATACCTCGAATTTTTTCGTAACTCCGATAGGCCTCGGCAGCCTTTGAGTTGAAGTCTTGCGCCTTCCCTGTGCACGGGAGATCTGAAGTACCTGTCAAGGAACACGAAGATCTTGCTTGGTTTAGGAAGGTTTAGGGTTTAGGGTAAGGGGTTTAGGGACATCTTGCTTGGTTTAGGGTTTTGGGTTTTAGGTTGTATCATTGTATGTCCCAAAACTTAATCCTGGATTCTGATCGAGGGCTCCTTGGTGAGGTGGCTCGGGTGATGAAGTCGCAACCCTCCCTGTGGCGTCGGAGCGTCGACTGCATGCCACGGCCTCAGGGAACGACTCATCGCACCCGGGCTCCGGGAGCCGGGAGTTCTTGTAGGAGTTTGGGATTCAAGCATAGGCTCGTGGGCTTCGGTTGTCCAAGGGTCTGGCTTAACTGTGCTCAAGCGGTTAACCATGCAATGCACAAAGAGCCATGTCACAGTGCCCTGCCATCGTCAACAACCTAGCTGGATGCAAGGAAGAATCAGGGATGAGGGGTTGGTGATTGCAGAGAAGAGTGGGAATCTGGAAGGGTTGTTCATTATTGAGAATTGCGCATGTAGTGTTTGTTTCTGGTCCGAGCTTGAGTCGGTGCAAGCTGATGCAACACCTGAGGTTTCATGACAGTCCGGGGTTGTCATGATGGGTTCAATGCATCAGGGCGTCGTCAGCAGTAGTGGAGTTGCCTGCATTAAAGATTAGTTGCAGTACATCCTGTAACATGGCCTCCCAAACCTTAGCGTCAATATTACGGCCCCTGCAATAGCGGCGCCTGCTTGGGTCATTCTGAGTTTTTCCTCCCAGGCCGTTCCTATTCTCAGGGGAAGCGACACACTGCATTATTGTTAATCTTGCAGAGACTTGCAGTGCTTGGGTGTGTGGGCTGTATTAGGGTTCTACAGGTTTGTCCAGGTAGGCCTCTTACAGGCTTACAGGTTCTTCCAGGGAGCATGTTCTGGATCTTTGAGGTTTCGGGCCGTGAATATCCCCAAAAACTGGGAAGCGGCAAAAAAGACTAACTCAAACCGTCCAGCGATGGCCACATGTTGCTTGTCGTGAATCAACTGTGCTCTACACTGTACCCTGCAGCGCGGGCTGTGTCCTATCTGAGTGGGAGGCAGAAATCTTCTTGATCTGTGCAAGCTTTGCTCTTGGGGAACCTGGCGGAGTGTCGTTCTCTAACATAGGGGCCTGAATAATTACCAATACTATTTTGGGGGTTCCTTATTCTAATTATAGTATATTGGGCACCAAAACCCTATTCTACTTACTAAGGCCCCTATTTTTTAGATCAAGACCACTTGATTTGAATCCTAGCCTCGACTCGCCAAACTCGAAACCCTGGACTCGTGTAAACCTCGTAGACCCGTATGGGCATTGATAAGGGTAGCTCTCTAAATTAGGGTCCCGCTTTAGTTTCCCAAATATAGTACGGCATCCTCATAAGAAGCTTATAAAACGGACCTTCAAAGGGACCCTAATGTAGAGAACTACCCATGAAGCGTTTATAAGCAGCCGGGAGGTGGCACGATGTGCCGTCAGGAGTCGAGGTGGGTTGCAGATCCCTAGAGGCTCCGCCGGAAATGAATTGCGTAAAGGTCCACCCATAGGCCCCATAGTAGTTCCTTTTTGGGTTTACCTTATAGGATTCTATATATGAACCCCCAAAAGGAACTACTTTAGGGCCTATGGACAGAGCTTAGGTCTAGGGAGTTTGAGGACCCAGGATATTATGGTGTATTGTGTGATGCAACTGATTTTCTGATCGGTGTTGGGATGTGCTAATATTTTTTGGCTTTAGACCCAAAGTTCTGGGAATTCGCGCAGCTTGCGAGCTTCGGGGTCAAAGCTCCTGCTTCCTGTGTTGGGTCAAGAGGCTTCGATTGCTTTCGATAGCCTAGGAGATCAGGTGTACTACCGCATTAAAGTCCCTGATTTAGTTGTACTTTATAGTTTAACCCAGCCCGCTATTAAGTTTTGGCGGTGCATTGGGATTTTGGGGTAAAGGAAAACCCCGCTCCAAACAGTTTTTATTTTCACGTTTTCGGAAAGACTAAAGACCTGAGCCTTGTAATAGCGTTGTGTTGGGGCAGGAAAGGATGACAATGACCACAAGTGTTCATCGATCGTATCGAGCCTAGATGGGCCAGCAGCTTAAGTGAGGGTTAGACCTCCAAGCTGAGACTTCTGTGTCGCAGGGCCGGCTGCCATCTGATATGGAAGACTTCTGCATTGAGCTGCTGGCCGTACCGGCTGTCTCGGCAGTGGAGGCAGGGTTCCAGAGTAAACGATGCCGTGCATCGACGCATCAGTCAATTTGAACACCAGAAAGCGCAATCAACAGCAAGGGCAACGACACATCAATCCCAGAGAACACCGAAACACCCCAGACCGGCACCGCCTGGATATGCTATCACAGCCGGCATCGGGCCGGGATGACCGGCTTCACGAAAGTTGTGATGCCCGGGAAGGGGGGGCGCCTCTTGCACATAGCCCAAGTGGAAATCCCAGTCGGACGTCATGGTATGTTAGTAAGTCACAAAATCTGGACAAAACCGAAACAGACAGGCAGGTAGGTGTCGGGCACGGAAGGCAACAATCGATGTGTGAGGGCTGAATCCCAAGCAATCAAGACCAATAGGAATCATGAGAGGAATTACCAGCAGAAGATGGCAGTCCAGTCACAAGTGCTCACAAGTCAAAAGTCTTAATTCTCACCATCACCGTAATCGTCATGTTCACCTTGATGGCCGTAGGAGCAATCATGTTACTGATGTTGGTGTGCAGAACGAAGGTACTGTACATAGACTCAGCATGATTAAGCTCCTGCTTGCAGCATCTTGCAGCCTCGAGTGGCTAAGTCAAGAGATCACACACCCTAAAACCCCTGAAGCCCTAAAGCCCAAAAGCCTACACAGGTGGCCGCACGCCTGGACCTTGTGAGACGCACCACCTCTCAGGCAGACGTCAGGCGAAGCACGCGGTGGGGAATCATGCCATGTACGTACGGTATTGGATATTGCACGGGTTGCATAGTAATGTTGTGTATTTTAATATATATATATATATATACACACATATATATATATATATATATACCTAAATATTTTTAGGGGCAAGCCGGGTTTGATTGAGGGCGCATCAACAGGATTTGATGGGACGCGCAGATTTTGATGGGCAACTGCGGGCTTAAGGATGTGTAAGGCGAAAAGGTGGCATCTTGAGTTTGTACGAGCATCTTAGCCCTTGCTGAGAATAGAGAACTGCTTGTGCTTAAGCCGCAAGCATCAACCCGACGCCGCGCTCAAAGAGAAGCAGCTCGACGCCTCAGACTTCGCGCCGACAGACCTGAACTAAAATACAACCGGGACTTCATGGCGAATCGGCCATGCCGATTTCCACTAAGATCTGAGCCCAGCTCGCACAGGAAACGGAACGCCTGCACTATCCTGCACTAGTGCATCATGCAACCAGCGGCCAAAGACTGCACTGGTGAGACGGGGCTCGAGTAGCCGAGGCGGCGGGGGGGGGGGGGCAGGACGGCCACTAAATTGGCGAAGAAACACCGAAGCTAGTTGCACACCAAGCAGTGCCAGGAGCAATGGTCCATCCTGCGAGAACTATGTTGTCAGTGCCTTAACAGAAACATGTTGCTTTCTGTAGCGAGTGCAATAAAGCGTTGGTGAAGCTTGTTTTCACTAGCATGTTGAGCAAAATTTACGTTTTTTTGAGGAAAAGGTATACGCGTTACAATCGTGTCATTTACCGTTCAAGGGCACAGCCATGCTGCATGCCATATGACAACAATTTCGCAGCAATCTCGGTGGGCCAACCACGTCGCCGTCGGCTCGGAGGTCACTGCTTACTTGGAGATTTTGGCCGCTTTGCAACATCGACTGGCGGCAGGCTTTGCCCCTCGCTGAAGAGTGTGCGTTCGTATGGGAATGGATGGTCGGGCAGGCTCACAATTTCGCCATCCTCAGCTCATCGAGCATCTTCGCGAAAGGGTCCTCCACCAAGCTACCCGGTCGGTCAGCACTTGTTTCCTTGCGAGCCATAGGTTTTGTCTTGGGCTCTAAACCGCCACCTATTTGGTGCGAGGTCTTTATTCCTGATGTTGGGTACGTCAACGCAAGGAAGTGCAGGCCGGATCGTAACAATTGAAACAGATGCAGGGTTCAGGCCCCAGCGGTGCCTAGGAACTAAAGAGACGTTTCAGGCGTGATACGGCTTGAAGCTGCGGGTTTCAGGGGCTGTTGTGCCGTCATGCACCCAGAATGCCGGTCCAGGTTGGCGATGTAAGCCTAGGTTCGAGGAGCATGTTAGATGCATTTTTTGCCCTCCGGACCCTTGTGTATGCGACCTCAGAGAAACCCCTGGAGCCCAGGACACCTTGTTTTCAAGCATGTCTACAAGCCGTTAATTGCAACAGCCTTTTGGAACCTCAAGCAAAGGCCAAAGGGAACATGGCCCACAGCATTTGTTGCAAGCATGCGCCAACAGATCTGAAGCCTGAAGCCGCAAAATTGACAATGCCAACACTCGAAAAGACTAAACGACATACTCAAACCTGAAAACTCGGAAAGCCATAGTTTTCCAATCAGGAAAAAATGAAGTGGTGCCAGGTGGCGCCAGGCTACAGATCTCCGTGGCCGAAGCGAATTCCATGAGCTCGGAGAGGCTCCGATGCTATGGGGGGGTCTAGGGACGGTTCAGGGTTCATGTTCTGGTGGAGTATGGAATTGTGATGGCTTGTGAGGTTTCAATTCGGGGTCAGATAGGAACTGTTTATTCAGGGTTTCGGGCCTAGGGACTTGGCGTTCAGGATGTCGTGTGGACTGAGTGCGTGTTGATACTTTGGATACCGGTGCTTGGGTTCTCAATTCACGATGCTGGTAATATAGTATTTTGCTTCTTCCCAGGTTCAGCCCTTAATGTGGAGGGCAGCGTCAAAGTTTCGATTTAGGGGCTCGAAAGGTCTGTGAGGTTTGGGATTTGCCAAAATATATTGGGTTGCAGTTGATGCTTGGGCCAGATGTTGAGCCAGCTTGGGCTTAGGGGCTGCCCTGTCAGAGCCCCTGGACCCATAGTGTCATGTCCCTCGACGGCCATCGCGGTTTAGCGTTTAAGGGGCCGCTTGATTCAGTCTTTTGAAGACTCAGCCAATGTATACTACAAGGGTCATATCCTCCAGGAGCTTAGCATTTCCCTGGCTTGAGGGCTTGGAGACTCTTGACCCGATAAGGATTCGGTGTGCTACCATGGGGGCCTTTATAGTTTGAATAGGCTTTGGGGGGGGGGGGGTATATTATACGATGTCTATAAAAAGGAACTTCAAAACTCTATTCTAATTCCTAAGGCCCCTACATTGCGCACCCTGCCCATCCGAAGCCATGACCGTGTGTGTATACACCCTAGATGAGTAAAGAACCCAGAGCCGAATACGGAAGCCGAATGATTTTGCATAGTGTTCCTTAAGGCTCCTTTGCATAACTATACATTATAGTATACCCCATAACCCTATTCTGTTTACAAGTTCCTTGTCACTTGGTGGGTTTGGATGGACCCCGCCTAAGGCTGTTGCAAGACGCGTACCTTGACTCCATAACTACTCAAATGCCCCAAACCTTGAGCCCGAAACTCCGCATCAATCAGCATAGACCTATACCTTAAGAACCCAAAACCTACTTTTTTGTAGGGTCCCTATAAATCCCACCCTACAAAAAAGTAGGTTTTGGGTTCTTAAGGTAGCCCTGAATAAGCCCTCAACCACAAAAAACTGCAAGCCGCTCACCCGAGGTCTACGGTCAGTCAGGCCGGTGGTCAGCCGAATCACCACAGCCAGGGCCCCAACAGGTTTTGCCACCTGAAGGACCACATGACCCTGAAAAGTAAGGCCCGTGTACCCTGGTGCTATGCAATTGCTATATTGTGCCCTAAACCGTTTTAGGGTACATGTCTTCCGTAAGCTACCGAGTTTGGGCCTTGGAGCGTGCATGAGCACTGTTGAGGTCTGGACCCCGAAACTTGTTGAACCCTCAAGTACAGCTTGCGAGAAGTGTCTACGACAGCTGTTCTGGTTTGGGTCTCGAGCGGGGTCTCAGGCGTTGTCGTGCTCCAGTGGATTTATGGCTCATTTCTTGTGTCAATATCTGGCCGTGCTACGATTCTGCCGTGCGTTGATATTACAGCGGCCTGCTGCCCAGACGTACAGACGTGCTGCCACGGCTCGTCATCCGCGATTTCGGGGGATTCAAGAAGGACCACTTAAGGAGAGTTCCAGCGATTTGGTTACCGAAGATCTCCTTGCTGCGGTCCACTGTGAGCCTGTCGGAATCTGGTCTTTGAAAACATCCACAGGCTACCTCCTCATATCTCATTCGGGCCCGAAGCCAAGAACTTTCAGGATCACAGTAAAATTGCAGAAGGATCGCTCAATTGATTCTGAGCTCAACGCCTGGTACTCATCGCATCGCAGCAACGGCATGCAGCCGTGTGGTGGCCAGTGCGCAAGCAGCCCCAACCATCCCAAATTTTACGACGTCGAATCCGAGGGCGCTCCCACTTTAACCCCAGAGCTGCGTCGAGTAGGATGTGCAGGCTTTTGCCGCAAAGCTCGCAAGCAGTCCAAGTGACTCAGCTTGCGTGCCATGCCGCGAGAAGCCCCAGAACAGCGCAATGCCACGATAAGAATGCTGACGTCGCCAGTAGTTGCGGCAAGGTCCTCGCTTATGAAAAAGGAAAGCATGCTCCACTCTCTGGTTTGGCAGGTTAAAACAACGAACAAACCGAAACCCAAAACTCCTCACCGATATTCGCATGGCTCCTGGCAGGATATCCACACCAAGCACGAAATCAGCGGCACCAAGCTCCTGAGGAAGCCCACGTGTCAGGTTTAGGAACCCTACTGGGTAAATGCGCAACCCGGAGATCTCCATCGGTTTTTGCACGGCCCCATATTGAAAATATCTACGTAAGCTCCAGTATCAGAGTATGTAGTCGCCAAGGCTGCTCGAAATGGAAATACACTGCGCATCTTCCCGAATTCCCAAACTCCAAAATCTTACATGACTCTACCTTGCAACCTGAACTTTAGCAATCCTTCGTGCCCTACAGCAAATTTCGAGCGCCGAAACGCTACAACCCTAGCTCCAGTAAGTCTGAAACCCGAGACTCTTCCGTGGCCGAGGTTGCGCAGGTACTTTGTGTATTGGCTCGGAGTGCCGGGCCCTCAATGCTGGCTTGGCGGATCTTTGGGTCTTACGTTTTCACGATAAGCGGTTTAGGGTTTTCGCTTCCGGTGGTATCGTAGGAACCTGCAGCTACTTCGCCCAAAACCGACGTAGTTCGGGGCACATCCGCGGTGGCGAAGAGGCCCCGACCATGGCCAAATTGCGCGGAACTGCGAACCGATGTCCTGAAGGCGAAAGCACTTCGAAGCCCCGAAAGCCCCAAACGAACTTGTGTAGACACTCCTACCATTCTATACTATCATAGTGTTCGAGGCAAAAATAGTATCATACTGTGACAAGCCTGAAGCCCAGGTAGACATGGATAAACCTAAACCCTAGACACTAAATACATAGGGAAAAACCCTAAATACATAGACAAGCTGAAGCAAATGTACTTCTTTGGCGGCCCTTAGGCCCACGGCCCTCACTTTGGAAGAGAGCTTGGACCTCCTGAAGGAGCTGAAAAGTGCTACCAGGCCAGGATCGGAAATCAAGGAGCTCCGGCTCTCGGATTTCTCGGCTTCTTGAGTTGGGAGCAGGCGAGGGTTCGGCCGGGTCTTGTGGGCAGCTATGCATCCATGCGGGCTCCTTCGAGATCCACGAACTGCAGGGTCGTCGGTATGTCGGCTAGATTTTCTCGGCCGAACTAAAGTTTCCCCTCAAACTTGATAAACCAGCGTGCAAGAAGGTTCTTGATGGTGGCCTTGGAAGGCTTATAACCTCTAAATGGCACACTATCATACAAGGGAAATCCGGAAGTAGAACAGCCCTGCATTCCGATCGTGATCTAGAGCCGGGGCGAGCAGGTTCTCGCAACTGAAGGATGCCACAGAAGGCCCTGAAACTTGCTGGCTTGATGTTTTCGGCTTTCAGATTTAAGGATTCGAGTTTCAGGATGTAGCAGTAGCACTGGGGTTCAGTGTTGTTGGTGTTGGTGTACGCCGATGTCTTCAACCTGAGCTTTGTCAGTTGCACCTTCAGACCCCAATTGAGCCGAATGCCACGATGTGGCTGGCATCTTACGTCGTTGTCATTGTTGTCATCGCCCGTGATTAGGCATCTTACTGACTGTGATTTGTTACGGGGCCTCTGCAGAATCCCAGCCGCAGTCCTGAGCATAGCTGGTCTCACATTTCACGTCGTGGTACCTCGTGACTTCATTGAGTCTGAGCCTAGTTCTGTGCGGCAAAATCCAATATCAAGGCAGAAGTGTTGGCATCACTGATGCCTATAAGCCTAAACCCTGAACCACGAGGATGCATCCACAAAAACCCTAGTAATGATCGCCGTCGCTGTTCAGGCTCCGTGTTATCCCGGGCAGCGGCGTTGTATCGAGAGGCCCACCTGCCGTTGCCGATGGTGTTTCATGGATACGTGTTTCTTGTTTTGGTCTTTTTGCTCCGGTGAGAGGCTGTAGGGTCCAAGTAGTAATATGGTAGATACTTTGTAGGTTTTGGGCCCCCAAAGTATAGACTCTACTATAACTTGGACCCTTTGGGTAGTTAGGATTCTGCCCGCCGTTGACCACCGGGTTGAAGTCCCAAAATCGCGCCCAGATATTCGACCGACAAGCTTAAGCTTGCTTACGCGTTGTTCGTACTCTTCTTGGTGACAAGGTTTCAGTCAAATTTATGCTTTGGCCCCGACAGCCGCTTCAGTGTGAAAAGGCCGTTGTAGCTTGCCCACTGCATTCGGCCTCGTCGTAACCGTACCCGTCTCAAAAACAGGTTGCATTTCCATTCCACATACGAATTCAACACCCCCAAACAGGGAAGCCCCAAGCCCCTTACGAGACTTTGGCCTTAAACCCCAAGACCTGGGGGGGCGAACAGAAACAGGAAACCTTAAAACCCCAAAGCCCTCAAGTTCGAGGCCTGAAATGATTGAAACCCCCAGAGCCCCGTCGTCTTTGGCGGAGGTCACGTCAGCCTT